CTCAGAACCTTTGAAAAATGAGAACATTCCTGATTTTAGCTTGGATACTGGTTCGGAACTTTTGAAAAATGAGAACATTCTTGATGATGTTAACAATGATGCTGGTGCAGAACCCTTGAAAAATAATAACACTCCAGCCAAGCCAGTGTCAGTAGAATGGAAATCAAATGTAGATGGTTGCATACCTTGCCCTCCACAGGGACTTGGTGGGTGTGGAAACGGGGTGCTGAAACTAAGGCGTATATTTCCAACAGAAGTTTCAGAGTTGGTTAAAAATGTAGAAGAAGTATTAGGAACCTGCAATGTTGCTAGTATGAATGCAATTACTTCACAAGGCTGCTCCTGCACCAGTTCTATGGGTGATGGAGGTTTTGGAATTGGTAATTCAAGGAAATCAGCCTCCCGAGAAGATTCTGATGACAACTATCTGTATTACCCTGCTGCCATTGACATAAAAAATGAAGATCTGGAACATTTTCAATGGCATTGGGCCAGAGCTGAGCCTATCATTGTCAGAGACGTTCTTGAGACCACAAGTGGTTTGAGTTGGGAGCCAATGGTCATGTGGCGTGCTTTTCGTCAGTTGAAACATCCAAAGCATACCAGGCAGTTGAATGTAAGGGCCATCAATTGTCTTAATTGGTGTGAGTTAGATATCAATATTCATAAATTCTTTGATGGGTATACAAAGTGTCAATTTGATCCCTACTACTGGCCTTTGCTATTGAAATTGAAAGACTGGCCACCATCTACTGAATTTGATCAAAATTTACCGAGGCATGGTGCTGAATTTGTCCAGGCTTTGCCATTCAAGGAGTACACTCATCACCTAAGTGGCATTCTTAATCTTGCTTCCAAGTTGCCAAACGACTATCTGAAGCCAGATTTGGGGCCAAAGACTTATATTGCTTACGGGGTTGCGCAAGAGCTGGGGCGAGGAGATTCAGTGACTAAACTACACTGTGATATGTCTGATGCAGTGAACATTTTGACACATACTGCAGAAATGAAGCTCAATGCTGGTCAGCTCCAGAGGATCAGACGATTGAAGCAGAAGCACATTGCCCAAGATCTTAAAGAAATAAATGGCAGTCGTTCAATCGCCAATGACGATAAATATGTGACTGAGTTGGGAAGTAGTCAGTCGCTTGATGCTGCTCCTGAATTTCCTAATAATTGCCAGTCTGCATGCACATCTGGGCAGGGAAATGTAACTGTAATTGACAGAGAAAAGCTTAATATAATTGATAGGGAATGTGGTGTTGATGATACCCCTAGAGTGGAGCTTCAATTTGGTAATCCTTTGATTAACCAAGATCCTTCAAATGTACCAGAGCTGGAAGATGATAAATCATTGCTTTCGAGGGACATAGAATTAGCAGCAGAATCTGCAGAGCCTGTGGACACTGATAAGCTATGTGATGGCCTTACAGGCGTGAAGGGAGAAAATGCTGTGGTTGTTTGCTCCACTGATGGGCCTAGAATAGATACGTCTTGCACCGGAAATCATGAAGGAAGAGGTTTCGAAACACATGTTGAGATTGAAGTGAAGCAAAAAGCTGATGATGTAGAAAACTATAGCAACAATAATGATGAAGTGAATGATGATGTGATTGAAGAGGTTAAGCCCGCTGCTGGGAAAAGGAGAGGCAGGAAGAAGAAAAGGGGAGCTATAAATTCCCGGAAATCAGTGAAAGTGACTAATGCATCCAGTTGCGGTGGTGATGGGGAGAGTGACACAGATATACCGACTGCACAGCCAAGAAGTGATGATAAGTTAAACGAAGAGATAGAATCCGGGGGTGCTGCTTTATGGGATATCTTCCGGAGACAAGATACACCTAAGCTGCAAGAGTATCTACAGAAGCATTTTAAGGAATTCAGGCACATATATGGGTCTCTTGTGCAGCAAGTTGTGCATCCAATTCACGATCAAACATTCTTCTTGACTGAAGAGCACAAAAGGAAGCTAAAGGAGGAATATGGAGTTGAGCCATGGACATTTGTGCAAAAGCTTGGCGAAGCTGTCTTCATACCTGCTGGTTGTCCCCATCAGGTTCGGAACTTGAAGTCCTGTATTAAGGTTGCTATGGATTTTGTCTCACCTGAAAATGTTCCAGAATGTGTGCGTTTGACAGAAGAGTTTCGAGTCCTTCCCCCAAATCACAAGGCGAAGGAGGACAAGTTGGAGATAAAGAAGATGGTTCTTTATGCTGTGGAAAAGGCTCTTGAAGACTTGAAATCCTGACCTTGATTTCAGAATTCAGCTAGTTTATATTGTTTCTTTGTAGCATTCTTATTTCCTAGGTCCATATTTGTAGTTTCTCAGAATTGACCTTACCTTTATGTGTGTTTGTAATCTATGTTAGGAGTTTGGTGGATCCCTCAAGTCCATGTTATATTTTCATAGATTTCAGAATCCATTTACGTTTTATCCTTTCCCTTTGTAGCTTACCTGAGCTCATGAATTTAGATTGTGCTTGAATTTTTCCGGATCTCTGTTTTATGTCTTTGATGGTATTTTTTTGTCCATGTTTTATTTTAATGTTTACGATATCTCTCTGTAGAGGTTGTATTGTGATAATTTTCATTTTCAGCTTTAATAGCTGTTACATGTAAAAGATTATGACTTGTACATTGATTTCATTCAAGAATGATCAAATTTTGTGGCTGCCCCGAGTTTGATATCTTCTGGTCTGTGTTGCTTTGCTTCTGAAGCCATAAAATGGTAGTCAGTAGTTGCATGCATCAATTCCAACATCTACTCTTGTTTATCTAGGGTCATGATATGCCTATTGAAGCAGCCTCTTCAATATGCGGATTCTATAATTTAGATCTGGTATTCATGTATTTATCTATTATGGAATTTGAGCCTTGTCCTTCTAATGATGCCTACGTTTACCTGGATTATATACTTAGTGTACTTATAAACATACGAAAGACTGGGTCTTTTGTGCAGTTACCTGTACGGTTATACCTGTCCCTGTCTTGGTATTTTTTTGGACAGGGATGGTATAGAGTTGCCTAATGCCTTCCTATCCTTCAGCAATGAGTTGAACGAATCTGTTTGGTAGTCTTACAGGGTAAGCTGAGAAATTTGTGCAAACCTTAACATTCTCTCAGTCCCTTCAGCTGGCCTATGCATTTTGCTTCTTTTAAAACCGGTATAATTAATCTGAGGTAACGGTATCTAATTTTCTTCTGTAGTATAGCAGAAAGCCTATTTTTGTGCCCTTAATTTTGATATTACTTTGGCTCTTACTTGCTCATAATTATGCTGCAACCTTAGCCCTTTTTCTGTAAATCTGTTTGGGGGAGCGTGTTTGGTAGATCAGAACGTAACAGGCAATTCACTTATGTAGCTTCATGCCTTCTATCCTCTCTCTCTCTGCTCCTTGATATATCGTTCGGCTTCTATGTTCTGTTTTCTAAATCTTTCTGTGGTCTGCGCTTAGAGTTTTCTCTGTTACTGAGCTGCTGTCCTTGCTTTTCTAGGTTCCATGTTCTTGATTATGTTTCCTTTTTCCAGAAATGAGCTAGATGAATCGATCTTAGGTGCACTGATGATCTGCAACGTTCTCTATCTTAAAATAGGAGTCTTGAAGCTAATTCTTGTCAGGTACTTTCTACCAGATTAGTTTGGTCTGTTCAATTTCCATGGACTGAATATACTCTTTTGCATGAATAAATCAGAATATAGTGATTATGACCGAATCACTACAGCACTATCTTTTTCTGTTTTGATACATGCTGCATTCATCTGACAGATTCAAGAGAAGACCATTTTTGTTATACAGCCACACAGGCGTTATTGCTTGCATATTATGAATCCATCTCACTTTAATTTTAGGAAGTAGTTTTGACTATCGAATGTTAACCATCAAATGTGGCCACATTTGATGCATCTTGAACAACCATATATATTATGTTACCCAAACTTGAGTACTATGTTGGATACCGTTAAGTGGCCAAGTGTTTGCCTCAGCTATTTTGTGCTTTCTTGGTGATTGTCCTTAAATGACGTGTTCCACAATATACGGTATGGTTTAGAGCCAGCCATTTAATTGTTAGCGTTGTTTCCAAAACCCTTCCCCCCCAAAATTACCAGAGCATTGATGCTAGATGCCTATAAGCACCTCATTATGATCCATAGAAACCAGATTTGCTATGACTAGAGAGTAGCATGAGTTTGTAAGAATACAAGCATGTGTTTGGAATTTGATAGTTGTTTCTGGTTACATTTGATCTAGTTCATATTCCGACTTGTTTTAAGATCTTGTTCTGTTCAATTTTTTTGATTTATACTACGTATTAACAACATAAAGTTACATTTAGTCAAACACAATATTTTAATAAGTTGCACTACATAGAACGTTTTTATCGCAATTGTTCTCTTTTGAAAAGCTGCAAAATAGTTACTCGCTTCATCCATAAAAGATTGTCTCTTACCTTATTTGGCGCAAATTAGATTTTGCTTGATATGTGCGGTTTCATGTGCACAAATTAGATTTTGCTTCTTTAAAAAAGTGAAGTTAAAGGTTAAAGGCAATTTTTAGAGACGAATGAGTATAACACGGACTACAAGATTACCTTAGTTGACTACTCAATGCTTGTCTCAATTTTTTTTCTCATCACATGAAAATATGAAATAGTTTTCTGATTAATCTTCTCTTTAAAAACTATACACCCATTAATTTGCAATTAAAAAATAAGGAAAGAAGTTTGTAACACTATTCGTTTTATTTCAAGTAACCATTTTTTTCCCACTAATACTAAAAAGGAAAACAATCTTTATTTTTCGAATCCTTTATCCACCAACAGCAAAGAGACAAAAATCCAAGATTCAATCACCAAACTCCAAATCTCTTTTCTAGTTCCCCCGGTTTCAAATTTCAACACATACATTAATACTTCGTACCAATATTTGGATCTAATAATCATTTATTCAAATAGTAACACCACTACAAATATTTTATTTATTTGAATAAATGAACGTTGGTATTTCATTTAAAAAAATCCCGCCATTTGAAAAACCCAATCAAAATAGAGACAGTCACCCTCTATTTCCTCCCTGCAAAGCACAACTTCCCAAGTGTCTTTTACCCCATTTTTACTGTCCCCATTGCTATAGACTACTCAACTTAAGGACCCCATTTAATTATTCAATTATTTTATTTTATTTTTGTGCATTTTCCTTTATTTTAACTTTTTTTTGAAAAATCTACTGTCATGATAACACTTACTCACTCCACTCTTTTCTTTCTTCACAGTTATCATAGTTGTCCAAAGTTCAAAACTTTACTAGTCCCCCCCAAAAAAGAAACTTTTTTCTTCACATTATTGAATTTCCTTTTTCTTTTTTTATATTTAATGAGTGAAGAAGTATCAAATTGAAGGTTAAAAATTCAATCTTGAAGAAGAAATTTCCAATGGGTTTGTTGATTTTGATCTTTAAACTTATTTTAGTGACTACCCTTTTCAGCATTTGTACTCTTGCTCTCACACCAGATGGTAAAATTTACAGTAATTTTTTTTTTTTTGGTGATTTCTTGTTGCATCAATTGTTTTTATAAGCTTTAATCTATTGTAATTAATTGGTTGTTTTTGTTTGTGTATTTAGGCATGGTTTTGCTTGAATTGAAGAATGTTTTTAATGATACCAATAATGCCCTTGGTAATTGGAGAGATACTGATGATACTCCTTGTCAATGGATTGGGATTTCTTGTAATTCTGAAGACCAAACTGTCATTTCTATGTATGTCTATTTACTTTACATCTTCTTTAAATTTTCTTCATTTTTGGCACATTTCTTTTTTCATTTTTGTTTTGGTAATGTTTGTAATATTGGGGTTTTTCAGAAATTTACCTTATATGCAACTTGGGGGGATAATTTCTCCAAGCATTGGGAAGCTTACTAAACTTCAAAGACTGTGAGTATTACTAAAAATTATGATTTTTGTTTTTATTTTCTGTTATATTTATGTAAAACCTAAATTGTGATTATAATTTTTTTTGAAATGGTGACTCAGAGCACTTCATCAGAACAGCCTGCATGGTTTTATTCCTCATGAAATTGCAAATTGTACTGAGCTCAAAGCATTGTAAGTGAAACCCTTTCTTTTTGCTTATTGTGGTCAATGTTATATTGAGTGTTGAGGATTTGACACGGCTACTCGAGATAAAATAAAGAGCCCGGGTACCATAGACTGTGGTAAATGCTGGCCAATGTCTAATTATATGACTGTCTTTCAATTCCAGATACTTGAGAGCCAATTATCTGCAGGGTGGCATACCATCTGAGATTGGAAATATTTCTTTTCTAAATATACTGTAAGATTACAATCTGAGCTTTTAACTAATAGCCTTACAATTTTGTCAATTTTTAGCTTTCAAACCTTGCATTCTTTTACAGTCTTATTCAGCGCTACAATGCTTATATCTGTTGATGCAGGGATTTGTCTAGTAACTCATTAAAGGGTGCTATACCTTCCTCCCTAGGGCGGTTAAGGAGGCTACATTATCTGTAAGTTCTGTAAAGATATCTGAAATTAATTTTATATTCAAAATACTTTGCTAAATACTTACTATGCATATCTTGTTTCACTACTTTGCCTCAGGAACTTGTCAACAAATTTCTTCTCAGGGGAGATACCGGATTTTGGTTCTCTCAGCTCTTTTGGGAATAAATCGTATGTTATGCTCATCCATATTATACTTTACTTATCATGTGTGAAAGATCATTGCTTAGGATGTGGTTTTTTTTCTTGAGCTCTCTTGTTGAATGTATTGTTTGTATTTGTCTGTCTTTAGTGCCTGCTAAAGCAGGACAATTCTGAACTTGTTGATGTGTAGACTTTAAATAAATTATTCCACTAGGACTTTTTGATTGACCATACTTATAGCATCGGTGCTGTTATTAATGCATAATAAGTTGAAGAGGAAGGATGTTCACGATAATACAATATGTCGCAGTTTTCTCATGATCAGCCGCAAGTAGTCAATCACTTAAGCTGCAAAGAAACGAATAGTTTTTCTTCGAGTGTTGCTAGTAGCTTTATATATATATACCGCATTCCACATTTTTGAGATTATTGTAGTTAGCATCAGCGAGTGCTAGTAAACCTAGATTGTAATTATTCAAGATATTGGAATTGAATGATGAACTATTAATCTAGTTGTGAAACTACATACTAAACATTCGAATGACAAGAATGTGTGAAATTAACTATTAGTGTATGAAAATTCAGAGTTAATTACCCCTACCAATTTGTCCCAATGCAATCAATAAGCCCTACCCCAAATTTCAAGATATGACTAAAAACATATGCATCTTAATTGATGCCTTTTCTTTTATACTAACATGTGGTTCATGCCTATTTTCACTGCATCTAATACAATAGAGTTTGACATTTCATAAGTACAAAGTTCCATAAGAACATTTTTTTAGAATCAACTTACTCTACTTAGGCATTCATGATAAAATGAATTCAACTTTCCTTTAGGTTAAGATTATATATCTACTTATTTAGCCAAGTATTAATGCCTTGATGGTCAAGCACAATATAAACAAAGAAGTTGTTGGACCGCACGCACACTCCGCTCCACAATAGTATGATATTGTCCGCTTTGGGCGCGTAGCCCGCTCGGATCTTTTTTTGGGCACCATCCCAAAAAGCCTCATACTAATGGAGTGTACGCTCACTTATAAGGAGCTCTTCAATTTTTCCTTCTGGTTTTTCATTACTAAGGACATGTTCTCTTCAACTTATTTTAGATACTTATTACTTATACCTCAATAAATTCAGATGAGATGAAACCAGACCAGAAACATTCAGATAAGATTAAAACTTTTAATTATTTTTTACTTATTGCTAAATATCGTTATTTGCGTATAAAAAAAATTATGAAAATTACATATTTGAAAAGTTCATAATGAGACGAATCTAACAAGATCCATTTTGGTAATGTTTTTCTTTATATATTAGTATTAAAATATGGTCAAAGTTTAGTCAAATTATTATAACAAATCTGACTAGATAATAAAAATTCAAATCAGACAAATCATATCTTAATAAAATCAGACAAGATCTCCTTCTTTTAGAAGAAAAGAACAAGTTCTTAGGTAAATGCTAACTCTTGACATGCAACAAGTCTCTCATTTTCCTCTTCCAAAGATGATCGTTAGTTCCATTCAAACTAACCATTTTACTAGTATTAATATTACCGGATTTCATCCCGAGAATTAATAAAAAAAAGTCGTGGCTCTGATACCAGATTGTTGAGGTAAACACCCCTCTTGCGAAATAATCAATTGACCAAACAAACAACAAGGCACAAGCACGTTTTAGCTACTAGTTTGTTCAAAGTCACACTAACCCAAACAATATAATATGTTCTTGAAGATCAACATAACTACAGCAATATCAACACATAAACGCAGCAACATAAAGCATATGAACAAGCATAATCAACCAAGCAAGGAACACTCAAGTTATACGTGGAAAACTCCTTCAAAGAGGAGTAATAACCACGGGACGGTTAGGGAGTCCACCGAAATTGCTCTTATTATAGTAATGGTATGATACATAATCACAATTCCAAGTCTTAAAAGCGGGTATTCAATTTACCCAACTACAACAAACATAAGAGCTAAATAATGGAGTATAAAATTTAGAAAGCCGTAAATCAAAAACCGTAGCAGCATATGACTATTACACCATTGAAATAAAGCCTTGGATGTCCCTGACAAGCTGTCAAAATTTAAGCTAAATTGGACCACCGATGAGCTTTGATCAGGGTTGATTTATGGGTCTGTACACTTGAAAACGTGAAGTGGCTGCTCTTGTAAACTGTTTGTGTTTCTCTCAACTAATTTTCATCATCTATTTACTCACCTTACTGGCAGCATGTAAATGATACCACAAAGACTTTGTTGCCCACTCTCTTCTACGGTAAGGCGCAACCAAAGTTAACAAGCCTAAAAATTAATCACTACATAATATAGGTTTCTCCACATAGGAAGGGACCCATAGCCCAACAAATCTTGGCACGCACGGTGGGACTACGCACAAATGGGTTTCTTTAAAGGTTCAACATTGAGAAAGCAAAACCAGCGAGTACTCTTACTTTGTATTTTAGGTTCAGTTTTCAACAAAGTCCTTCTACAGAAGAGAAAGAAAGCATGGTGCATATTTCTTATGTTTCAGCCGTGGGTAGCTTGATGTATGCAATGGTTTGCACTTAGCCTGTTATAACTCATGCGGTGGGTTTGGTTAGCCATTTTCTCCCTGATCCGGGAAAGGAGCATTGAAATGCTATGAAATGGATTATGAGATATCTACGAGGTAATAATGATATGAAGCTATGCTTTGGGAGTGATAAGCCTATTCTTGTTGGCTACTGACATTCTGACATGGCGGGTGATATTGACTCTTGGAAGTTTACTTCGGGTTACTTGATCACTTCTGCATGGGAAGCAGTTTTTTGACAATCTAGATTATAGAAATGTGTGGCATTATCCACAACTGAGTCAGAGTTCATTGCAGCGACAGAAGCATGTAAGGAGTTGTTATGGATAAAGCAATTTGTTCGCCAACTTGGATTTACACAAAAAGGTATGTGCTGTATTGTGACTGTTAAAGTGCTATTCATCTTGCTAAGAATTCTACCTTTCATGCAAAGTCGAAACATATTGATGTGCGGTATCATTGGATACGAGATGTTCTTGATGCTAGGTTCCTTGAACTTGAGAAAATCTATAACGATGACTATGGCTCCGTCATGATGACAAAGGCATTGACACTTGTCGTTTGATTACCGGAATGACATCCACCTCCACGTAGACGAAAGGGGGAGATTTATTGGGCTATGTGTCTCTTTCTATGTGGAAAAACCCATGTTTTGTAGTGATTGTGTTTGGGGCAACTTGTCTAGTTTTGGCCCAAGTGTTTTGTTGACTTTGGTGTGCCTTACGGTGGAAAAGAGTGGGTAACAAAGTCTTTGTGGTATCATTTACTTGTTACCGGTAAAGTGGGTAAATAGATGAGGGAAATTAGTTGAGAGAAAGGACAGGGAGTTTACCAGAGTAGTCATTTCACAGTTTCCAGTGCGCAGTCCCAAAAATTAATCTTGATCAAAGCTTATCCATGGTCCGATTTAGCTCAAAATTTGACAGCTTGTCTGGGACTTCTAGGGCTTCATTTTCATTGGTGTGATTGTCATTTGCTACTACAATTCGCATTTACAATTGTAGAACAGAACACTCTTTATTTCATCCTTCATTGTTTAGCTCTTATATTTGTTGTAGTTGGGTAAATTGAGTGTCTACTTTTAAGACTTGGCATTGTGTTTGTGTATCATACCATTACTATAATAAGAGCAATTTGGGTAGACTTCCTAACCATCTCGTGGTTTTTACTTTTCTCTTTGAAGTGGTTTTCCACATAAATATCGTGTGTTCCTTGCTTGGTTGATTATGCTTGTTCACATTGCCGGAGTTGTGTTTCTTTTCGAGAACATATTATATTGCTTGGATTAGTGTGACTTTGAACAAACTAGTATCTAAAACGTGCTTGTGGTTTGTTCGGTCAGTTGATTATTCTGCAAGAGGTGTGTTTACCTCAACAAAGGTACAGTAAAGTCAATAAATTCTTAGGATTAAGGACAAATCACAACATTGCAATCATATTTGAGCTTGGTTCTCATTTATAATTTCCCTACCTCATGTTTATAAGAAAATAACTCAAATCTTAGAGAATCAAATCAATCATCTTAATTGAATCACAAAGAATATAGATGCCAAAGACTAACTCACAGGATTGCAAAGCTAAGTTTGTATCTTAAATGAACTTGATGTATGTAAGTATCTTGAATTTTTTTCCAAGTACAAAGGCATTTGTACATAAATGCAAGAAGCTACACCGACGTGCCTTGATTGACACATGCTTTCTGGCCTGCTTATACAAACTCCCTTAGCCCTTTAGAACCCGAATAGTTTTCCTCCGATATGATAGTCTATGTGAAGTTGTGAACTCCCAAATTGACTATCTATGACCTTGCTTATGTTGTAAAATTAATAGTTGACTCATGTTGAACATGCTCTTGCTGGTAGAATTGTTTATTATAGTCACATGGGATCTTGTTAGAATTGTCTCAATGTATTTTTATGGTTATTACTTATAGATAACATAAACTTTCATAACATAAACTTTTTATGATTATTACTTATAGATAACTAGAGAATAGAGATTTTAAACTTGTGCATTGGTAAACGTAATAAAAGAATTGTGTCAACTAAAAAAGATTGGAGGAAGTATTATTCATGCCACCATTTTCTTGACAGTCCCAGATTTAGCATCATGAGTTGTGTAGGCTTTCGCTAGAATTAACTGGTGCTCTAGGATTCAGTACCTTCGCTTGCTCTAAATCTTTTTCTCGGTAACAGTTTTATTGGCAACTTGGACCTTTGTGGGCGACAAGTGCATAAACCATGCCGGACCTCACTTGGATTCCCTGCAGTCTTGCCTCATGCTGAGAGTGATCAAGCTGCAGGTAAGCAGCAATCTTGGCTGTCAATACATGTATTTTCTTCTGTTACCTATCCATAGAGTTTTTCATTTAAACATATTTTGAGCTCAGTATATCTTCTCCTTATCTTGCAGTTCCAACTAAGCGATCATCTCATTATATCAAGGGGCTGTTGATTGGGGCAATGTCCATGCTAGGAGTGGCTCTTTTAGTCGTCGTTGCTCTCCTTTGGGTTTGGTCAGTATCAAAGAAAGAAAGAGCTGCCAAGAAATACACAGAAGTCAAGAAGCAAGTCGAACCTGAAGCAGGTAGAATTAAATATACATTCGTCAGATTTTGTAGACATTTTTGGTTTAGTTCTATCAAATATGTTGTTTATCTTGAAACCATTTCTCTTCTGGGAGTAGGAACCAAGCTTATAACTTTCCATGGTGATCTTCCATATCCCTCGTATGAGATCATCGAAAAGCTGGAGGCTCTTGATGAAGAAGATGTTGTAGGTTCGGGAGGATATGGTACTGTATACAGAATGGTCATGAATGACTGTGGCACATTTGCTGTTAAAAGGATAGATCGCACTCGTGAAGGATCTGATCAAGTGTTTGAGCGGGAATTGGAGGTTTTGGGTAGTATCAAGCACATCAATTTAGTAAACTTGAGAGGCTACTGTAGACTGCCTACTTCAAAACTTCTCATATATGATTATTTGGCCATGGGCAGCCTAGATGATCTGTTGCATGGTAATTTTCTTCTCAAAAAATTATGCATTGATTAGTTGATTAATTATCCAAGTAACTGAATAGCTGTATTGGACATAAAATCTTACCTGACATACATGAACATATATTGCATACATGCTTGAAGATATCGACAATTCATAAGAAGCTTGGCATTGCTGGAAAACGAAACCTAGTAGAGCATTTGATTAGTTAGCTCTTCATGAAGTCCCTTGTATAAAAGAAATTGCACTTATGATGGATATTATCAGGGGAAGATGACTGTGGATGATAATATGTTGATTAATATCAACAGATGCTACTTATTTTTTTTATTTTTATTTTCTTAATACTGAGTATCTATTTTATGATGTTAAATATTTTATTGCAATTGACAGAACAAGGCTATAGTGATGAAGTATTAAGCTGGAGTACTCGTTTGAAGATAGCTCTTGGTTCTGCTCGTGGATTAGCCTACCTGCATCATGACTGCTGCCCAAGAGTAGTTCATCGTGACATAAAATCAAGCAATATACTTCTTGCTGAAAATATGGAGCCGCATGTGTCAGATTTTGGCCTTGCCAAGCTTTTGAAAGACGAAGAGGCTCATGTTACAACAGTTGTTGCTGGTACTTTTGGTTACTTGGCACCTGGTAGGTCTTCTAAACTTTTCATATCTTTCAATCTCCAGAACTTAAATTTTGCAACAGAGTCAGAAAGGAATTTGCGCGCATTGTGCTTTTTTTTTTTTGGCAAATAGTTTTGAACTCTTGATATTCAGAATAGTTCATAGTAGTTCATACTTATTCTTGCATAGATGATGACTTGGTATCGATGTGCATATTGCTGCATGTCACGTAAAATCCCATTCACTGTAAGAGACTTTGCTTGAAAGAATGTTCTCAAAAGAAAGTAATGCACAAAATTTTGAGGTTTAAGGCTTCATTCCATTCACCTAAAACAATTATTGAAGCTTATATTAACTGTACTTGGGTAGCCTACTAGCCTTTAACTGAACCACTTGGAACTTATGCTTCCTGAAACAAAAATTTAACGTGAAAATAACAAAACTTTAGGGAAGTAGGCCAGTGTTCAAACAATTTAATCCAAATATATGCACTTCATGGGCAGAGTATCTACAAAGTGGAAGAGCCACAGAAAAGTCAGATGTTTACAGCTTTGGTGTTCTTCTGTTGGAGCTTGTGACTGGAAAAAGACCGACTGATCCATGCTTTGTTCAAAAAGGCTTAAATGTTGTTGGTTGGGTGAGTACCTAAGTCCTTGTTTCTCTATCTTTCCCTTTAGTAGAATGAATTCTATTTTACTCCCAACTTGGTTAAAGCCTTAAAGGTTATAAGCAAAACCATTGCTCAAATGTTGTTGCAGATGAACACACTATTGAAAGACAACAGATTAGAGGATATAGTGGATAAAAGATGCTGTGATGTGGATCAGGAAACAGCAGAGGCAATACTCGATATAGTTTCCCGATGCACTGATGCAGATCCAGAGCGTAGGCCATCGATGAACGAGGTTTTGCAGGTTCTAGAACAAGAGGTCATGTCTCCTTGCCCTAGCGATTTCTACGAGTCTCAGTCTGATCATTGCTAAATGATGGTGGAACTTGTGATATAACATGTGCTTGTAAGCTGTAATCCTGCCTTGGGGTTTTGTATATTAAATTAATTGATTAATCTGTGCATTTTGTTATGCAACCCTTAAAAATTAATCTCATTAGAATAGTATTCCATGTTCAAAGGTTAAATTAATGGATCAGGTTTCGAAAAAATAATTACGGAGTATTCAGTAATTTTCATATTGTTACCAAAATCTGGAAGGGAACTCTGAAAAAAACAAAAATACATTACTGTAAATAAATTAATCGATAACTAATCAATTCGATTCAAATTCATTCAAATATCAATAAGAAATTCACCAAGATAATTTATTGAATTTTGTAGAAAAGTTTTCTCCAATCTCACCATAAATTTCTCTTGATAGTAGTTGAGGATTAGAGATGAAGTAAGCTTGGCATTCACTAGGCCAAGTTTTCGAGCCCATATCCCAGTCCAGTTGTCCAAAGCATCAAATTTTAGAATTTTTCATTCAATCTTGCATACTCCTCTGTTTATTTTCTCTTTTAAAATCTTTTACTTTATAGAGAGTGAAATTTTAAATTTGATTATTTATCGACTAAATAAGCTAAAACTTATGTAGTTCAAAAAAAATAAAATAGATATGTGATATTGTTTAATTTCTCTTGATGTTAGTTTTAATATGTACTCCGTTGTTAAATATATTAATGCACACATATAGATTCATAACTGCGCCTTATTGATTATCATATTATATCATATCATATCACTAATATATAAAGCTGATCTTGCAGTCAGGCCACGAGATAACGACACTTGGCAAAATAGGTATTATTGTGACACATAGGATGCTAAGTAAGCGAATTTTGGATAGATTTTTGTAAGATAAAAATATTGTATAGTGTTTTATATCGATATATTTCTAAAATTTCATATATACAAAATTAATTGTAACTCTTAATAAATATCTTATAACTCTGTACTATTTCCATTATAAAATTCGTTTTAAAAACTTCTTTAAAATGAGATCCATTTATAATATGTTTTAATAAAAAATAGAAAATCTCTAAAAATAAGTTTTTATGAGAAAAAATAATTTTAGTTTGGTAAACTAATAACATAGATATCTATTTACAAATACAACTACAAAAAGTACACTATAATATAAATAAGCGATATGATATCGTATGTCTAAATATTTTACATTATTAAAAGGGTTTATATGATCGTATTTAACGTTCTTACATTATCAAAAGGGGTTATATGATCGTATTTAACATTCAAGTTAAAAGGTTTAGGACAATCCGGGCATCGCCTGGGCACAAAACTAGTCACTAATAAATAAAGCCGGTCTCGCAGTCAGGCCACGAGACAGCGACACTTGACATTCCAGTTTTTCGCCAAGTGTCGCGCCACGTAGGAGATAAATAGGCATTATTGTGACACATATGATGCTAAGTAAGCACTTTTTGGATAGATTTTTCAAGATAAAATTGTTGCATAGAGTTTTATTATCAATCAAATTCTAATATTTCATATGTAAAAATTAATCATAACTTTTAATAAATATCCCATAACTCAATTCTATTTCCATCATAAAATTTGTTTTAAAAAATTCTTTAAAATAAGATCCATTTATAATATATTTAATCACAAACTTTTATACGTAGCTGGCCAAACCGTGTCACCAACTATTACAATATCAGAGTTACTTCGTTATTGCTATAGGGGTTACTTGATCAGTGTTATAGTGGTTACTCAATCAGTGTTATAGAGGGTTACTAAGTCAGTGTAAGAGTTTACTCAATTAGTATTACAGGGTTACTCGATCAGTTTTATAGGGGTTACTTTGTACGGCCAAATGGTGTTGTTAGCCGCATACAAAATGCATTGTTATTTATTTTATTGTAAAAAAATATTAGAGAATCAATAAAATAAGTTTTAATCAGTAAAAATAATATTAGTTTGGTAAAAATACTTTCAGTTCATTGAAAATAATTGAAATTCAATAAAAATAATTTGCTATGATTCCTTCAACTCACTAGCCATTAGGAGTTTCCATGCCAAAAGAATTTTTTTTTCATTATATAGCCCACGAATATACTTTCAGTTCAGTGAAAATGATTGAAGTTTAATAAAAATAATTTCAAATCAATAATAACATAGATATCTATTTACAAACAAAACTATACAAAGTACACTCCATATGATATCGTATGTCCAAATATCCTACATTATAAAAACGAATTATTTAATTGTATTTAACATTCAAGTAAAAATGTTATCTTAAAAATTTTAATTATTCACCATTTGGACATCGCCCGGACACAAAACTAGTTCTTCAATAATGTTATAATGTCTGCATATGAAGTTCTAATATTGGTTTTTTTTTTTTTTTTTTTTTTTTTTTTTTTTTTTTTTGTGACATGTTTCTAATGAAGGATGAAAATTCTAAACTTCTAAGCAAATTGAGTTCGTTTATTTCCACTCAATGATGTCTGCCCATAAATCTCTGCCTTAGATTATTTTTATTTTAATTTTTTTTGAAATTTAGATTGAATTGTTGATAGTTGCTTTTTTCAATCAATGATCGAATCACAAATTTTGTTATTTTGCAAAAAAAAAAAAAAAAAAAAAAAAAAGAAAAAGAAAATCATATTCTGAATCCATGTAGATACACGAGACTCTTACAATTTGCTATGATTCCTTCAACTCACTAGCCATTAGGAGTTTCCATGCCAAAAGAATTTTTTTTTTCATTATATAGCCCACGAATATACTTAATATTTCATGTTCACAAAAATGACCCAACCAGGCTCACCGCAAGCATGTACAAGAAGCATGCCTAGATCATGAGCCTTACAACTTACGAGGACATCATACACAGTACTACGTATTTAAAATTTGGCACAAGCATGACAAGCATACTTATTTATTTACCAATTTACTAAAAATTGAATATTATTGCCCACTAGCATGGCACATGAGTTGGGCCACGCATGAGCTCCATTTATGACTAATTGACGGGAGCTCGAGACATGGCCTTTTGAGCACAAGGCCTGCTGGCACATAACATGCGCTTGTACAATCCAAACAATTTTTCAGGACCTTTTATAAACGTCTCTATTTGAGCACGTCTAGATTTGCTGGCACATAACATGAGCTTGCATAGTCTGGCCAGTGTCTAGCTCTAATACTCCGTCCTTAGAAAATTCTACTATCTTGACCATACTACGTACAATTTAATTAGTGACATAGGCACCCCAATTAATCAAATCATCGATCAACTATAGTTATAGTCTAATAGAGTATAATAATATTGAGACCACAATTAAAAAAAAAATTGATATGATGTCAGAGTCAACTGAACTTCTGATAAGCCACTGGAGGCATAATATCACATATATGGTCTCTTGCATGGTTCGTATGGTTGAAACTTGAAATCAGAAACCTTTGATAAAATCTTTATTCCCCTGTTGTTACCACCTTAATTCTAGCATATACTACTAATTTTATGCTCATGGATTAATATTATATACTTTGGTCCGCCCAACATGCATTACCACAACTTTTTTTTGGTTAATAAAATGTGCAAGTGTCGCAAGTGTCAATTGATCATTAGCATCTTTTCTAAGCTTGTATTAACTATTTTAATAATTATGTTGTTTAATTAGTTTGACGGCTACTCAGGGTTTAATTAATTTTGTCTTTTATGTTTTGGGTGATTAGTGATTTATTAGTATAGTATTAGTGCACCTTTATAGACCTTGCATTGTGTTAATTCGACGTAGCATACAACTAATAAGCATATTTTTATTCTATTTTATTTGAGAGTGAAAATCATGAGATTGATAACTATTGAAGGATGAAGGTTAAAGATTTTAAGATACGGAGTAGGAACTTTTGCCATTAAATATGACCAAAACTTGTTGTAGCGTAAGAACGAATTAAAAGTGATACTCGAGCCCTGAGCTCTAGAGAGGTGACTGGTGATTTAGTTGGATACGGATTGGGATCATACAATTTGGGTCATATTTGGCTAGGAAGTAATTTAGTTTGAGTCAGTTTAAAATTATAGTCGGAGAGCTTATTATTAAAACTAATATAATAATTCTCTATATTAGATTATTATTAGTTCGACGAAAAATTTGGGTCAGGTTAGGCTAAAAGTCGAGTCATTAAGCTTTGGGCATGACTATAAAAATATGAATCGGGTCAATGACTAAAGTTAGAACTATGGCATAGTGACCACTCTTTGTTGAGGGATCGGAGTTCATCCACCCAATACATATAGATAATCAAGTTACGTAATAAACACTATTAGAAAATAGGCTATTTTCGACGGAATTCAAAAATCCATCGGATTTCCGTCAAAATATTTGTAACTAGATGGAAGCCTGTGCGATGCATGATTTTTTTTACATAAATCTCATGAAAAAATTATTTTCTTAATTTAACCCTATAATTTTTTTATTATTTTGCTTGTTAGAAAACGGATAATTTGTTTTATTTTTATGCAACTTAAAATGCGACCTTAATTTACTTAATATTAGTTATATGAAAATTATAAGTATGATAAATATTAGAATAAAATCATAATCCTATTCGTATTTTTTTAACCTATGATTCGTTTGTATAAAGAAAACACGTTGTTCCACTATACATATATAGTTATAGAATCACTATTTTTCTTTCACAAACAATAACTTAGACCACCATTATTCTTTTACTCCGAATCAACTTTATACAATGAAAAATTAATAAAGTAAACCCAAAACTATAGGGTTAAAATAAAGACGGTGGGAGTAATAGTAAAAGATATGACTTTATAAATTTTTAAATAGTTAAATGAAATATATATATATATACTACCAAGAATGTTGCATCACTAAAATTAATCTAATTGAATAAAATTAAATCTTTATAATGAAATTTCATTATCATATATCCTTAATAATAGAGTTATATGTATACACTACTACAATAATTTTTACAATAATAATATAGATATTCTACCAGAAACCATAATACATAAAAAATCAAAATTATCAGAGACATCTCTTACAATCTTTAATTTTTTTTTCCCTACTACTGTAACATTATAGTTGACTTAGGACCTGTTCTGATTTACTGAACTGAACTGAACTGATTGAAGCTGAACTGAACTGAATATTTTACGAGAGAATGATATTATTCACAAGTTTGTGTTTTTTGTATAAAATATATATATTGTCTATTTACAATTGAAAAAAAAATCAAAATTATATTTTTGAGAGGATGTATACAAATCTTTAATATCATCATATCTTATATATTTGTGGAGTAGCAAATAAATCTCTTATAAAAATTTTATCTAATCATGAAATGGGTTGCTAGATAAGATAAAAATTGCTTATGTGGTGAGTGAATTTTTTAATTTTAAAATAAAATACAAATCTAACTTTTAATTGTTTGAAATAATACCGTGCGATGCAATTGTCATACATATATCACAAGAAAAGATATTTTCCTATATACTCTAAGTTTTTTTTTATTTTTTTATTTTTTTTGTAATTATTTGATTTATTTTATAATTTAATAATTTCAGACAAAAAAAAATTAAATTAAAATGATATTGCCAATTACAAAAGTATATTGTTTTTTAATGTAATTTATTATTCCACTTAATTTATTGTTGTTTTGTATTTTATTCGTTGTTGATTATATGACAATAATATGATATCTTTAAGAAAAAAAATATAATATGATATTTCATTGATTACATATTAGCATAAAACCTTTAATGTGAAAAGATAATAATTTTTTATTTTTAAAATAATTTAAATCCTAAATCATTATTCGTAGAACAAAATCAAAATCAAAAATAAAAATAAAATTATAATAATCAATTTTGAAAAAAAATTGTAGAAAAAAGTTGACTTTAATTGAGGGAGCGTAATCACCCAGTAATTAAAAATAAAAAATTAAGTTAATTTTATGACTTAATTAAGATAACTAAATCATAAAAAATTTGTTTTAATCATAAAATTAATTGATAAAAACTAAAAGGTTCATTAAAAGATTTAATAAATGTAACCGATTTATAAAGATATAATACCTTCTCATCCAATAAAATTATCAAGCGAGAAACTCGTACTTTGATATTCCAAAGATTTTTGCTCGAATTTAATCCTCTAATTAAATTAGATTTGCATGTAAAAAAAAAATTCAGTAAACAAAACATAAACATATAATCATTAAGTATCCCAAATAAACACAATTTAATCAATAGTCACAAATATACATTTAAACATGGGTTTTAAAAATTAGGCTAAAAATTACCAAGCCATTGATGACCTAATAAAACTGACACAAATTAATGACACAAAATTTGTTTGGTTTGGTTTTGTATTGATACGAAATTTTGTTGTTGTGATATGATACATCAATTTATAATGATAAATATCACAAATTTTAATTTAATTATAATTAAGGAATAATTTTTATTTCTTATCATAAACATTATCATAATTTATCTTATAATAGTAGGTATATAAATTTATATCTAAAGATGATTAGTTTAAAAGATAACTTTTAGTTTTTTAAATAAATTAAATCCTAATAAATCAATATTCGTTGTTTTTACTTACGTGGCAAAACTCTTAAATCTCATTCGTCACTTTTACTTAGGTGGGAAACGAATTTTTTAATTCTAAAATAAAATAGAAATCTAATTTTTAATTGGTCGAAATAATGCCTTTACTTATGTGGCGCGCCGAATGCTCTTAAAAAATGCCTACTTTATTTATATATATTAGATTCCGTCGAAAAGCTAAATTTCCGACAGATATTAAATCCGTCGAAAATTCCGTCAGAATATTTAATTAAACAAAAAAAACCCCTAAAACCTACCGGAGCCCCTTTCTCTTTCCTCCGCCTTTTTTTCTCTTTCCTCTTCTCACCCTTTCTCTGTTCCTCTTCTTTTCCCCCTTTCTCTGTTCTCGCGTCCTCCTCTTCTCTGTTCTCGCGTCTTCATCTTCTTTCTCCTTTCTCCTTTCTTTCATTCTCACAAAATCACACCTCACCATGAAAGCTCGAAGGGTTTTAATTTTTTGAACAAAGTAAGGTTTTTCATGTCAAATTTGACCATGAAAACTCTAGATCACTCTAGATCTAGAGTTTTCATGGTCGAATTTGACCTTTAAAACCCAAATTCAAGCCAATTTCGGGGTTTTGTTGGTGAAATTTAAGGTATGTTCTTTTTTTCTTATTTATTTTTGGTTTTTGAATTTTTTTTTTTTAATTTTATGATATGTGGTTGAATGGCGGCGGCGGTGGACTGGTGGGTGGTTTAGGGAAACTGCGGTGGTGGTGGGTGGTTTGTGTTCGGGTAATTGCGGTGGACTGGTGGGTGGTGGGGTAGTCCACTTAGTTTGGGTGGTTTTAGATCTAGGTTTAGTTTTAGTGGTTTTAGATTTGGGTTTAGATGGGTGGTTTTAGATAGATCTGGGCTTAGTTTGGGTGCATTAAGGTTAGGTGGGGTGGGTTCGGTTTGGTTAGGGTTAGGTGGGATGGGTTTGGTTTGGTTGGGGTCAGGTTCGGTTAAGGTGGGTGGTAGGGTGGTTCGGTGAGAGTGGTAGTGGTGTTGTTAGGGTTGTTGGGGTGGTGGTGGTGCGTTAGGGTTAGGTGGGGTGAGGGTGGGGTTGACAATGGATTTTTGGGTGGTTGAAGGTGGTGACAGGCCGTGCCGGTGGTGGTGCGGCCTGTTTATTTTTTTTTAATTTGATTGCACCAGTTTCCGACGGATTTGTATTCCGTCGTAATTTTCCGACTGACTTCCCGGTGCCGGAATTCCTCTTCCGACGGAAATTCCGTGGGATAAGTGTTTCCAACGGTCGTTTTTCCTACAAATGGTTTTCCGACGGAATTTAGGGTGATTTCGACGGAATTTTTCCGTCGAATATGACCTGTTTTCTAGTAGTGAAAGAGTCATGGGTGATACCATTATCTAAATATTTGAAGGGTCAATCACCATAATTACTCAATCTATAAATTCTACTCACGCTTGATGTAGAGAATATTGAGCTGAAGAAAAAGAAAAACAATACTCTGTAGGTGATACATTTATGGAATGTTATATTACCTCCACTTTTGGTTATTTGCAACGATGGGACATTTTTCCTCTCTACTTTATGTCCCATCGTTGCAAATAACTAAAAGCGGAGGTAGTAATTAATTTTTTTTGCATTTATATAATATTAATCACAAAATAGCAATATGAAATATAACCAGTTTAAGCACCATTTACATTTGGGGGAACGTCCAACGTGGAAGCACACGTAGACTAGGACACGAGGTAAATCACATAGAAAATTATACAAGTAAGATAAGCATAGAATAGAGAGAGACATAGTAGAAAATAAAATTGCATGCAATAGCTAAACATAACACCATATGGCCACATGATAATGGATATTGACCCTTCAATTTCACCAAAAGCTCCCCACAATTCAATTTATTCCACCCCTTTCTTCTATTTTAATTCTCAACTGTCGGTCTTTATTTCTTCCATTTTTCGCACGACAAACTAGAACAGAAATCGTTTCTTAAACATTTAATTTAAAACTTTATACAATGATAACCCAATTTTCTCTCTCCTCTAAACACCTTCTCTTTTCTCCCTTGTTATTACCTGCTTCTCCAACTCTACCACCATTGAATTTAATCAAGAATTGTTCATATAAAAATTCATGTAAAAAGAATGGATCATATATTTTGGACCGACCATTATTCACGACATTATTTTCTAAGAGAAAGCAGAGTTTAAAGGTGGTTGCTTCTTCTTCAACTAACGTGGCTGCACCTCTTTGGGACACTTGGTCACCTGATAAAGCCACCCCTTCTCCTTCTTTCAGTGATATTCTTTGGCCTTCTCTTGGTATGTTCCCTTTCATTCATTTCCTTTTGTGATTCTTTTGGTAATCCGATAACTTGCCTCACGAGGGGAACTCCTAAAACAGTATTGTTTCAAGATTAGAACCAAATCCGATTCAACCAATACCCTCCTTATTTTCCCTCATTCCCTTGCACTTTAATTTGAGCTGGATTGACCTGTGAATTCCTTAATTCTGATTTGATAGGGCGTCTTCCTCTTACATACAAAAATATGCATTCATATTTATTCGTTACGAGTTACTTGTATATTTATACTGGATCTAGGTTCAATATAATGTGTGCAATATTAGAGATTTGGAAAACACTTTTTTTTTGTTTAACATCTTGTGTTTCTTGATTTTAGGATCCATAATAATGTTATTAATGTACTTTTAATTTTATTTTATTTTATTTTTTGGTTATGAGTTTTGTACTTTTATTGTATACTTGTATATAGTTATAGTTACTAGTGATTATCTTTTCATACTTAAGTAGTACAGCTCTATCTTTGTTATCTAATTTTATCATCAGTGTCCTTATCAATAATTTTAGAGTAATTTATCATGAAATATAGAGAAAACCCATAGATAATTAGATATAAAGCATAATTTTATAGATTTGAAAATTCTTCAATTTTTGCCTAGGGAAAAAATGTCATTAAGTCGTCAACATTGTGGCCCAGCCTAGAGAATTCTAGGTAAACTTTAATGTCACGCACTTCTTAAAATTGCATAAATAAAACATTTTAAAAGAATATACTTGTATTAACCAATTAGTAGCCCTTGATATATTTAGTGGTCGTTTGGTTAATTGTACATGCTTGAAAGCAAATCGAAAGAGTTTCATTTTATTTTCTAGGAAGTAAGTTCTGCCTACTTAAGTTTGTAGGTCATTTTTGTTTCAAAAAGAAAAAAAAAAGGTTTGTAGGTCATTTCTCCGATTTATGGAGGGTAAAACAATTGCATTATATTTTTTTATGTGTTTGAGTTGGCTAAAAGACTCCCAGATTTCCTGCTTCATAAAATGAAATTTTACTTGTTTTTAATTTTCTATTATGGTGCATTATATTTACGTGAATTTTACTTATTTGAAAAAATTTAAACTTAACTAAACAAATTGCTTGTAAATTGAACTGTACAACTCTTATACCGTAGTATACCTTTTACAAAACTTAGGGTGTCTTCAATTCATTTGATTAACACACAAATTTTCTTTTTTTTGTACTAAGTGAAAATAAAATAAACGAAATAGGGATTTATCTAAAACATATTGTTTCTAAACTTATTCGAATTTAATTTTAATCTTATTCAAAGTATATGTCATAAAGTGAGAATAAAGTGAAAAAAAAAAAATGACCTAAATCGAAAAGACGTATAACTCTTAAGTTCAAAGTATCTTTCCGATCAGTCATCAAATGTGCTCAGATCACTTATTTATTTAACTACCCTTTACATGCCTATAATAATGTCAACTAAGCTAACAAATTAGTGATAAAAATGAAAATAGGGGCATTTGCGGGAATGGCAATGTTGGGAAAAATGGACCAGATACTAGCGCCAAAAGGATTGTCAATGACAATAGCGCCATTAGGAGCTGTTTGTGCTGTTTTATTCATCACCCCTAAATCTCCAGCTGCTCGGGTATGTACGTTCTACTCTATCTTTGTCTTTCAAATCTGATTGGTTGATATTATATTTTTGGGTCCCTTTTATATCTACTTGTATAATAATAATAATACTATAGTATTATTGCACATTATTACTATATTTTATCCTCTTACAAATTGTTTGTGGCTAAAGATCTTTCTTGCAATTTTTTAGAATTATTATTCTTAGGCTAGCTTACTAGCTTGGTAAGTAGTAGTTTACTAGTTTATCATATCAGCAAATTCGTCCATTTGTATGATGTGTAGCAACGAACACTTAATTTGTTTAGTACTCTGTATCATATATTCACAATTTAAGTTCTGCTACAATAATTGAGATTGCCATGTACTTAGTAGATATCGAGACAAGCCTAGTCTTCCAAAAGCGGTCTCAATATAAAAGAGAGGAAATATGATCTAAAGACTTATAGAAAGTTTATCAAATTACTAGAAAATATATGATTTAAACAATTTAAGGTACATATGAATTGAATTGTATACTCGTATAAATAGATACTTCGTTAATAATAATAGATATAAAGAAAAATTGATTCTAATAATCGCACCTTTAACCGGTTTCCCATTAATAATCCCACCTTTGACCGGTTTGCCATTAATAATCCCACCTTTTGATTATTATCTAATAATCCCACCTTTATATGAGATTCTCTTTTAATAGTCCCTTGTGACTGATTACATGCACAATAGGTAAATTTTTTAAAATTTTAATTTAATTAACACATGTTATTACATGATTGATCAAAAAAATTAAAAAAAATTAAAAAAAAAATTTAAAAAAAAAAGAAAAAAAATACCCAGCAACCTCAACCCCACGCCACCCCATCCCAACTTCCGGCAGCCGTCCTTTCCCACCACTGCCATCCTCCGGCAGCCCCTTCCCCACCCCACCACCACCGGAATCTTCCCCTCTCCACGACCCACCCAACGGCAACACCCCACTCCCCGGAATCCACCACGACACCCTAAACCCAGCCCCAAAAACCACCCCATCCCCTATTGCCCACCTCAAAAACCATTCCTCTCCCCTTCCCCGGCGTCAAACAATATTCAACAATACCCAATATTCTCCAAAATCAACAATTCAGACCCTTTTATCATCAAATCAAGAACACCCAACTTAGAAAAATTACAAAAATGAAAACATATAAATTGATATGAAGAAATTGAATAATCTGGAATCAAATACAATTAACAAAAATAAATAAGAAAAAAATTAACCTTGAGATAAGTGAGGAGATTGTTGCAGCGAAATTGCCGACGGCTGCGCGAGGAGAGAGAAAGAGGTCGGAAGTCCAGAAAAGAGGGGTTGGGTTTAGGATTTTGTGGTGGATTCCAGGGAGGGGCGTTGTCGTTGGGTGACTCGTAGAGAGGGGAAGATTCCGGTGGTGGTGGGGGTGGGGAAGGAGGCTGCCGGAGGATGGAGTAGCGTGGAGGTATTTTTTTTTTCTTTTATTTTTATATTTTTTAGTTTTTTTTTTTTTAATTTTTTTAATTTTCTTTAATTTTCAACCAATCACAAAGTGACACGTAGCATATTCACCTATCAAATCCGGTTATCAATCGGTTAGGGACCAATGGAAGAAAATCGCCTATATAGGTGGGATTATTAGATAATAAGCAAAAAATGTGATTATTAATGACGAATTGGCCAAAGGTGGAATTATTAAAATCAATTTTTCCTAGATATAATGTCAGGTATTTGTAAGGAACTTTTAATCGATCATAATGAGTGATGACCATATAATGGGTTTTTTAGCCGTGGTGTGTATGAGTTATTTCATTTACTCGTATAATTTTTGTTAACATTACTTTTTCACATGCATAAATACCTTAGTTATTCTTTTCTCAAATTTTGTTTGCTTTGGTAGTATGGTTCAAGTGCTTGTACTTCGAACTGGCAACTTTTTCGATATTCTAGTTCTTATCGTTACATACAAATATTTTACCTTAACTTAATTTGGAACTGTATGTATATATATGCAGAAATACAACATGTTCATGGCTCAAATAGGGTGTGCAGCAATAGGAGTGTTAGCATTCACACTGTTGGGACCAGGTTGGCTTGCCAGGGGTGCTTCTCTTGCTGCTTCCCTGGCTTTCATGATTTACACCAAATCTACGCACCCTCCTGGTAATCTATACTACTCTATCTGCTTTCGTAGTATATACGAATATAAAATTATCGTATACTTAAAATTTAGGAAGATTTGTGTAAAAGGACCTTTTAAGTGGTCGATTTTGTTTGAAATGACCTTTTAAGTGATAAGTTGTGAAAAAGGACTTTTTAAATTGTATTATGTTGTGAGAGGGTATTAGGCTGGATTTTTCGGGTGGTCAACAGCGGAGCTCCGGCGTTGACTCTTACGTGGGGGTTACGTGACTTATAAAAAAGTTCACACATTTTTTTTCCCCCTTTCCCTCCTTTTCGAACTACCCCTTTCATTTTTCCCCCTTTCATACTTCCCAAAAAAAACGTGTGGGCTTGTTTTTAAAAGTCACGTGACTCCCACGTGAGAGTCAACGCCGGAGCTCCGCCATTGACTACCCGGAAAACTCAGCCTAGTGCCCCTTCACAGCATAATACAACTTAAAAGATCCTTTTTCACAAAGTTTCACTTAAAAAGTCCTTTTAAACAAAATCAACCACTGAAAATGTCCTTTTACATAAATTTTCCTAAAATTTAATCTAACTGGACTGGATGTGTGTATGTATGTGTAGCTGCTAGTTTGCCATTGTTATTTATTGACGGAGCTAAACTTCATGGACTCAATTATTGGTACGCGTTTTTTCCTGGTGCTGCTGGATGCATCCTCCTCTGTTTCCTTGTAAGTTTCTCCGCCAATCCAAACCTTATCACATACAAGTAGAAAATAGTGCATATCCGCAAGAGGTTGATCAAACAATCAAATTTGGAAAACAATTTTGTTAAGGGTGTGTTCGATAAAATTGAATTAGAATTATCTGACTTGATCAATCTACGAATATTTTTCCTAGACTTGTACAAACTTATCTAATCTAAGGATTGCCATTTTGAGTTTATTTGATTTAAAGTAAGTTAAAATAAGTTGAACTAAACACACCTTTGAATTCATTAGGAGTGCTACCGGTAATTTTATCAACACTGTGGATTACTTCGCAAAAATGACTCGTAATTAGGTACTCATATTACTGTGGTGCACATATTATCTAAGGCAATTTTCTCTCTTTTTGGTGATATTGCAGCAAGAATTTGTTTACTACTTGAAGGAGAATTTCAAGTTTTGAATTGAAAAGGGAAATTTTTTGATAAAGTAAGTAATTGCCCTCCGAAAAGCAAAATTGAGGAGTGTATTTCATGATTTTTGAGGCACTTCTGAAAGTTTTGGACGACAGACACCAGTTTAACTACGTACTGGTAGCCTGGTAGGGTTGCAAATATGGAGATTCCGTACAAAATGTACAGGAAATTGGATTCGAGCACTCGATGTAAATCAATTGATAAATATAATTCTTTGTATAAATAAATATTATCATTAATTTTGTATTAGTAAGTTCTTTATCATTAATAGGCTCTGTAATATATACTTGTATATTTCATTGGAAGAGTACATTTGCTTCTTCCATCATATGGTGTACGTCTTGAGGAATGTGAATTCATACGGTCGAAAATGAGCATAATCGTGCAGATTTTGACCGATGCATATGCCGTCAGAGGATTTGGGCCTTTTATAATTGCATGCAATGCTCATTTTTGTAATGAACTCGTAGTTTCCTAGTAAATGCCAATATTACCATCAGACATCAGTCCATCACATAATTCACATGTACCATGGTCGATGTACTTCGTATGTAGTGTGTATAGCATTATATAAATGTCAGATCTTATGATTGTTATTATTATCTGGAAACCTATATTGTGCATTCTAAAGCACGCGTTTCTGGGGTGGGACTTGGGTCAGGCAATTCAGTTTGAAATGGGTTTACCCGGGTCAATGTCGGTTCGGTTTATAAACGGTTTTGGATCATGCCGGTTCGGTTTATAAACGGTTTGTGTCATGATTGGATCGGTTTGAAACGAGTCGGTTCATGGACGGTTTTACCCGGTCAATGTCAATTCGGTTTATAAGCGGTTTGGGTCATGATTGTTTTAAAGATCGCGCCATGACCATGATTTAATTAGTTGATACTTAGAATACGATAAATCGATAATTAAGGAAGTACAAGTATTCAATTAGATCGATTAACAAGTGTTTTAAGTTTTAATAATCAGATATATTTATCAATTATATGTACATACCAATGACTCAATGAGGCAATGATAGTATGATACCAATCGTACATTCGTACCATATATTATTATTTGTTACATATACAGATACACATATAATGATGATTAGGGGATTTTTATCCACCAATCACCGTCTGACAAGTGGACCAACCAGGTTCCGCCACGTGTTCTTCATGAAGGCCAACAGGAACCTGCCACGTGTCAATCACAGATACGTCCTCCACGGACCACTTAAGACACGCCACGTGTCCACCCATGCCAAATGGGACAACCGGCCATCAAGGCCCAATTCAGTCTAGAGGCCCGATCAGCCCTAGGTTTACCTTAAACCTAGAGAGTTGCACGCTTCCCAAGGCTATAAATACTCGATTAATCCTCATTAATCAAGAACCGAATAATTAAGAGATCAAGCAGAGAAGAACAGACTTATTAACGACCGGCTAATCTCGCTAACAACGCAGATTACCAACACTAAGCACTCTCACCTAGAGAGATCTGATTACTTTAATTTCTGTATTGATTACTCCTTAATCAGGTACTAACTTGACCGTTGGAGGCGGAGCTCTCAGGAGTCTCCGTTATTTTGCAGGTACAGGCGTCCGGTTCCAGTCTCGGAATTGTAACTCTCCCGCAGGACATCAGAAAACCCCGAAACAAATGATATACATATACATTAACAATGTCGTATTGAATCAATTTCGATTTCCAAACATTTACATTTCTTATAATTTATAAGTTACACGAGGTTAAATGGATTAGTTTGTTACCTTATTTAGATTACTAATTCAAACAGCCTGATATGCTAAATGGACGAAAGTCACTAAAGTGGTGATGAAATCTTTATGCAATACTAATGTACAAATATACAACGGTTAGATTGAATGCCCATGAAAAACAACGGTTAGATTTCATTAAAAACTAAACCTACCAAACTAAACCCCAATCTACTCATACTCTTTAGTCTCTATTATTTATTAATTATTATTACTTTATTAGTTATTACTTATTAGTTTATTACATATACAGTCACAGACTCATAGATATATACATATAGAGATGTCAAATATTGATACACATTAACTATGTCGTATTGAATCAATTTCAATTTCGAAACATTTGCATTTCTTACAATTTATAAGTAATAACTTACATAGTTACATACTACATTATATAGTTTGTTGGATTAGTTTGTTGTTGTATTACCTACCAAACTAAACCCTAATCTACTCATACTCTCTAGTCTCTATTATTTATTAATTATTATTACTTTATTAGTTATTAGTTATTACTTATTACATTATTACATATACAGTCACAAACTCACAGATATATACATATAGAGATGTCAAATATTGATATACATTAACTATGTCGTATTGAATCAATTTCAATTTTGAAACATTTGCGTTTCTTACAATTTATAAGTAATACTACGTAGCTTACATACTACATTATATAGATAGTTTGTTGGATTAGTTTGTTGCTGTATTTATGTTATTAAACTCAAACAGCCTAAAAGGCTTAATGGACGAAAGTCACGAAAGTAATGAAACCATTATATAGTACAATTGTAAAAGTGACAACGAAGTAAGAATCGTTTAAAGCTCAATAACGGTAAACTATAAACTGCAATTTTCTCGATAGTAGTAGTAGTAGTATGATACCAATTGATAATTAGATCGATTCTGTAAGTTCTAATTTTTATTTTCTTCTTTTTTTTTTTTTTTTTTTGTAGATTTGTCATATTTATTCTGTACTCACAATTATTTAAGGTATTTTTTTTATTCTAAGTTTCGATTTTTATTCTAAGTTCTGTTTTTTATTGAATTTCTGGTTTATTTTGGTTTGTTTTTTTCCTAATGTGTTGTAGGATTTTTATCGGAATTTTATTTTGTTAGAAACTTAATTTTGAGTCTGTTTGTTTTTAAATATTTTGAGACTCTTATTTTTTTGCAATTTATTTTCAGTTTGTGAATGTTAGGTCTGTCATCTGTATTTAACTTCTGATTTTATTTTTATTTTATTTTTATTTTTTTATTTTGGTAGATCTGTAACTAACTTGCTCACGTTTTTTCTGTTAAGGTATGTTTTTTTCATTTATCCTCAATTTGATATTTTTTCTTGCTTTTAATTCTAAGTTCCGAAATTTATTCTAAGTTCTGATTTTTATTGAATTTCTGGTTTTTTTTGGTTTTTTTTTTTTTTTGCTAATGTGTGAAATTGTAATAGCAAATGGAGTGTTGTTTAAGTTCTGATTTTTTGCTGATGTGTGAAATAGAAAATCGAAATATATTCTAAGTTCTAATTTTTTAATGACTGTAATTAAGATTTTAAGTTCTATTTTTTATTCTGTTTATTTCAATTTATCTGTTTTTTTTTAAGTATTGTTTTTATGTTATGCTATTTGTTTTGCTTTGCCCTATGTATTGTATACTGTTGATTTGTTTTTTTTAAATGCTGCTACAGTCATGGCTCATGAATATGATGATTTTGACCATTAGAGGAGTGAGGGTGAGAGGCCATCTGATTTGGAGAGTGTGAGCTCTCAAGCTCCCTCTGGACCAGTTGATGATGCTCATAATACTAGCATTATCACTATTGCTGGTAATATACGTCAAAGAACCTCAGGTATATTGAAGCATTACACATTTTTTTTTAAGACGGTAGGTAATAAAAAGGTAGAATATGCTCGTTGTAATTTGTGTGGCAAACATATTAATGCATGCTTGGGCTAAACCATGGTCTTCAGCAAGGTGTAGAATCAACATTTGATCAAAAAAACTTATTTACAAAAGTTTGCTAAAGCTAAAATCTGTCATGCATATCCTTTAAATATTGTAGAGCATGTATATCTTAGGGAACTTCATGCATATTTGAATCCTAAGGTGAAGCATGTTTGTAGAAAAACTATGTTAAAGTATTGTATTGCTGAGTATGATAAATATAAATCCTTGTTGCATGAGTCTTTGGCTAATGTTTGTGGTAGAGTTAGCTTTACATGTGACTTGTGGACTGCACGAGGCTATCTCACTTTGACTGCTCATTATGTTGATGACAGTTGGTCTCTTAGGTCTAAAATTTTAAATTTTTAGATATTGTGGCCCTCCCCATACTGGTGTTGAGGTTGGAAAGTTTGTGTTTAAACTGATCAAAGAGTGGAACCTTCAAGGTAAGGCTTTTTCAATGACCGTTGATAATGCTCGTTCTATGAATGTTATGGTTGAATATTTGAAAAAAGAATTAATGCAATGATCTCCTCTTCCTTGTAATGGTAAATTCTTTCATGTTCGATGTTCAGCTCATGTTTTAAATCTTATTGTTTAAAGAGGTTTAAAAGAAGTTCATGAAAGTGTTGAAAAATTGTGTGAATTTGTTAACTATATTGATGCTTGTGATTTTAGATTAACTCAATTTGAGCATGCTTTGTTTGAGTTACAGTGTGCTTTTAATGGTAAGTTATGTCTCGATGTTGTGACTCGTTGGAATGCCACTTATACAATGCTCTGAAAAGTCTTAGAAGCTAAGGATGCCTTGATTCTATATACTAGTAGGTTTTTGGGTATTTTTTATAGACTTGATGCTGATGAATGGGATACTATTCAAAATATTTGTGATTTCCTTCGGCCATTTTATGATATTACTGTGTTATTTTCTGGTACTGAATATCCCACTGCTAATTTGTATTTTGTTAGTGTTTTAAAATTGAGTACGCTATGAATCAAGCCCATAAAGACCCTAAACTTGCACCCATGGCATGCAGCACTTATGCTTGAGAAGTTTGAGGGTCATTGGGAGGATTATTGTTTGATTCTTTTAGTTGCTGTTGCTCTTGATCCTCGTTATAAGCTGTGTCGAGTGAGAAAAATGTTTAACTTGTTGTATGATGGTGAGGCATGCGACGAAAAGATTAAGATGATTAAGGAATCTCTTTGTGACCTTTATAAATTTTATTCTGCTGCATCTAATACAAGCTGCAGAAATCCTGCCACTTTTGTCACAGCTCAATCTAAAAATTCTAATCGCATGTTGAATTCTCAAAATATTTTCACGGTAATTATCTCATACAATATTAATGGCAGTATTTTATTGTTATCTGTAATGTTATAATTGAACTTTTTATAAAAGAAAACTGTTTCAGTTGTGTGAGATTGATGATGACGAAGATGGTGATTCAGCTAGATGCCATCTGGCTGATCTTGAGTCATATTTGAATGGACCTCGTTCGCGAATAATTCAAGGGGAACATTTTGATGTTCTGAAGTATAGTACTGGGAATCTCAAGCTTCTTCTTTTCCTATTTTAGCTAATATAGCAAGGGATGTTTTGGCCATTCCTATTACATCAGTGGCCTCCGAATCTTCTTATAGTTTGGGTGGTCATATTTTGAACAAATATAGGGGTAAGCTTTTGCCAAAGAATGTTGAGGCATAGGTTACCACCCAAAATTGGTGTCGTGGTTATCAAGGGGATGTTGAGGAAGACGTCCTCCTTGTTGGTAAAGAGATTGAAGCAGAAAGTGCTTCATCTACATAACAGGTATTTGTACAACGGTGTTGCCTCACTATGGCTAGCTGTTGTTATATATGTACTTGCTCCTGTTGCCTCA